GTGGAGCGCGAATCGTGGCTCGCTTTACGGAAGGTACCGAGCTTCTGCCGAAAAACGGAAACGGCTTATCGTCCCGAATCGAGCGATTCGGTCGATCGCCGAAAGTTGTCGCGGTCTATTCTTCCGCCGCGACATTGAGTGTCGCCAAATAATAATAATGATGACGTCACGAATTACGAAGCGCGTGTATCTACTGGTAGAGACGTCTGTTCGTTCGCAATTTTGTACTTTATCTAAACAGAAATAAATATAAGTGTGTTTATAACTTGAGCATAGTTTTATTATTTTATAAAAAAAACACATATACTATATATATATTAAAACTATGAAATTTTACACAATCCTAATTATTATTAATGATAATGGAATAAAAAGTGTTTTGTATATTTTTGATGATTATAATCGTCTCTGCTAGACATATTTTCGGCTTCATAAAACAATCTTACATCAATGATACAATATGTTTACACAATTGCATTCTATGATTATCAAATATTTCCTGAGTTATATGTGATCTTGCGTGATATTGTTACAAAATGGAGACGATAATCTACGAACGGTATTTGTTCAAAACTGTTTAATATTATTTTTTTTTAATTCGTTCATGTACTGCCGAATTGTTGATTCTAATATTTTACAAATAATACAAACATCATCAGATGATTTTAAATATGGCCTTTTATTTTTAAATTCTGATAATAAAGGCATTTTTTCACCTACTGGTTTTTACATATTTCACAATTTATAATATTTATGTTGTACAGTCTATTACAAACATATCCTGCTATATATTGAACTATGTTGTCTACATGGTATTTCGTTATCAGAGTTTTCTCTTTCTTCATTTACTAAGAAACATTTAATTTTTTTTGGATTCGATGATGCATGCAAAATTTCAAAACTATCAGAAAGACAATTGCCGATATCAAACTACTTTATTTTATGCCTGATTACTAAACGTTTGTATGCACTTTTTACTTGTAGAGCATTAGAGTTGTTATTAAATCCTCCACGACTCTTTATAGCACTAAAATATGTTTCAAGAAAATCTTGAAGTAATTTATATGTTAACAAATATGTCATTCTGAAAATCTTTAAACAATTAAATAAAGGAAATATATTTCTTAAACATACAACTAGTCCAAGGAAACTAGTTTTTCTATCAGATTGTAATATGGGAATGCTATATAATGTCGCGCCCTATAATGTATTAATATATTCTTCCAAGTATTTAACATGTGTATGTAGTTATGCATAATTTTCAGAAATTAGTGGTGTATTAAACTTATGACGAGAAAATTTATTTTTGTAATTTAATATATCATTCATGTTATTAAACAAAACTCAGCAGTTGGTTTGCAATTAGCAAATTGACTGTTTATTGTAAAGTCTGGTAACTTTAATAAACATAAATAAATTGTATACACTTTTACTTAAAGTTTGTATTGCTAACTTTAACATTCATTCTATTATTTTGGTAATGAATATGCATTTACTAGTGAGTTTATTTCCAGCTTTTAAGTCTTCTTTTTGTTGTAATTTGTGAAGATTAACTATATATATGACCTATTCAATTCTTTCACTACTTGATGCTCTCAAAATTTGTTTGTCGCTTAAAGTACTCATTAATTTTATCATGTGAGAGAAATCATAAAATACGTAACATATTAGGTGTAGTAAAAAGAAATCTATTATTTTTTCAATAGATGGCTTTAGTAATCTGTATCTCGCGTTGTATAAGTGCGATCGGGTTACGCCAAATGGCGTTAGAAAGATAAGATTTCGTACTAAAAAAACTTCTCAGACAGTTTTGTGATTGCTTGAGTCAGTATTGTTTAAGTGCGTGTCAAAGATGGACACCAACAAAGAGAAAATACGCCATATTTTACAATTTTTCTTCAATAAAGGCGAAAACGCAAGCCAGGCGGCTGAAAATGTGAATAGTGTTTATGGTCCTGATACTGTAACAGTCAATATCGCGCAATTTTGGTTTCGTCGATTCCGTTCCGATAATTTTGATGTCAAAGATGCACCACGCTCTGGAAGGCCAATTGTCGAAAATGTCGATAAAATAATGGAAATCGTCGAGTCCGACCGTCATGTAAGCACTGTTTCGATTGCCCAGGAGCTAAACATTGCACAAAAAACCGTTTGGAACCATTTAAATAAGGCTGGATACAAAAAGAAGCTCGATGTATGGGTGCCACACGAGTTAACGCAAAAAAACCTCATGGACCGAATTTCCATCTGCGAATCGCTGCTGAATCGCAACAAAATCGACCCATTTCTGAAGCGAATGGTTACTGGTGATGAAAAGTGGGTCACTTACGACAACGTCAAGCGAAAACGGTCGTGGTCGAATCGCGATGAGCCGGCGCAAACGGTGGCCAAGCCAGGATTGACGATCAGGAAGGTTTTGCTGTGTGTTTGGTGGGATTGGCAGGGAATCATCTACTATGAGCTGCTCCCCTACGGCCAAACTCTTAATTCGGACCTGTACTGTCAACAATTGGACCGTCTGAAAGAAGCAATCGCCCAGAAGCGGCCAGCTTTGGCCAATAGGAGAGGAATTGTGTTCCATCAAGACAACGTCAGGCCACACACATCGATAGTGACTCGCCAGAAGCTCCGGGAGCTTGGTTGGGAGGTTCTTATGCATCCACCTTATAGTCCGGATCTGGCACCAAGTGATTACCACCTGTTCCTGTCTATGGCGAATGATTTTGCTGGTGAAAAATTCGCCTCAAGAGAAGCTTGTGAAAATCGACTGTCCCAGTTTTTTGCCAATAGGGACGAGGGTTTCTATGAGAGAGGCATAATGAAATTACCTTCAAAATGGCAACAAGTTATCGAACAAAACGGTGCATATTTGACCTAAATCGGATCATTCTAACTATGCTAAATAAAGCCTTCAATTTAATGCAAAAATAATAGATTTCTTTTTACTACACCTTATATTTCTAATATAACAGGATTTGTAAAGAATGGCTTGAAATTTTCTCTATATTGCAAATTTGCACCCAAAGCAGTACATATACTAATGTTACTTACAGCATTATCAAAAGTTATGGAAAAAACTTAACAATTTATTTTATTTAATTGTTTAAATGCAAGTGTTAACAAATTCCCGCGTTCTGAATCGTTTAATGATCTTATTAAAAAATATCCAATTGGAACTTTCCAATCATCATTTAGAGATACCGCCATAAACATTAGCAGCAGGAACAAAGTCGTTATCATCTTTTATAATACCATAGTCAATACTACAGTGAAGTCTTTTTTATCATAAATCATCTCTTCCTTTATTGACATTTTATCTATAATTAAATCAATAATAAGAGGTTTAGAATTATTATTATTGCGTAATACAATGGCATTTAATGCTTCTGTTGTAAAATCTGGAGATCAACAACACGATACCAATTTCGTATCGTGGATTTGGTAACAAGTTATTCCACAATTCTCGTATATAATTATATGCTTTAGGTGAATAAAAGTTCAATGTTAATGCAAAGCTGCAAATTTCAGGAGAATAATACCACCTTTTCTTATTTTTCTTGATATTATCGCTTTACATTTTCTGATAATGTATTCTAAATAGAAAGAAAATAACTTAAGCAAGTTTATAATACTTATTTCATCGCTTTTAAATTGCATTTACAAAACATTAAACGATAAATTGATTTGTTCTATAATATACATTTAGTGATAATTTATATCCTAAAAATTAATTATTCATCATTAATCTTACAAATAATGGATTTTTTGTCCTATACTACACAATAAGACATTTATTACCCCGAACATATTTTCATCACTTTAAGAATGTACAAAAATTATTAAATGATTCTTACATATATTCTAATACATATACATATATTCCCATGATCGATGAATATAAATATATAGGGTGTTTCAATACATAATAAAAGAAAAGTTGTATACAAAGTACTAGTCATCAATATACGTTTTAATGATAGAAGATGGATGTAATGTAAAGAGAAGTTCTTAAATAAATCTTGCAATACAAAGCTGATTGATGAACTGAAGAGAGCTCAAAACTGAGAGAAAAAGAGAGGTCAAAACATATAAGCGCTTTATTATAATAAAGAGTTTTATGTTATATCTGTATATTATTTACGCAACGATTCCTGTCATTTCCAAATTTCTTTTTAATATCCAAATGCCATGATTTTCAAGAAAATGTAGTCACGATAGTGTGTATGTAATGTAGTACGCAGATTACTTCTTTAGTTTTTGTAAAAAGAATAATTTGTTATCATTCGTAATGACTATGAATAGTGGTCTTGCTAATAAATTGATTAATCTAAAATTTATGATAATTTCTTTTATTATAGATCTAAGAGCTGGTTGTTCCATCTTCGGATAAACTATGTGACAATTTATCTAATGGCTAAACAAAAGAGTAACAGAATAAGAAAATAAGAAAGTAAGAGTGAACTTAAAGTTTATCGAAAGATGAAACAATCCAAAAAAAAATATTCTATATATTAGTAGTCTATATTATATCCATACTATAAAATAACATACCATTAAATTATCTTCAGCATCTTCAGAAATTAATATTGATTCTTTTAAATATGAGATACTAATTCTTGCAATGTAACAATTCGCTTTCGAAATCTCCTGTTTTCATCTTGTAAAGATTTGATTTGTTTGCTTTTCTTTTGATCTATTTGTTTAATAAAATTGATTAATCTTCTCGCTCCCTCAGTATACTAACATCACTAGTATTAATTGCTGAAATATATCTTGGCTCTGCAAACAAACGTTTCTTTCGAGGAGGAAAAATGTTCTCTTTAGAAGCTAAAAATATAAAATATTTTTATCACAAAAATAATACTTATTTTCTTTTATAATCAGTGTACATCTTTCAATTTATATATAATTTATATTTAACTTATGAATAATAAGTAGAAACTTTGGATATTGGCTAAACTTCATCATCAAAATTCATTTTATTATTGTAGATACAATTAGAAATGTAATATTAATTTACTTTAGATGAATTTGACATACTAGTACTTTCTATTATTGGCATTGAAAGAATAAAATATTTATCACAAAAATGTTATTTCCTCTTACAATCAGTATACATATTTTTATTTCTACATAATTTATATAATATGTAACTTACATATTGAATAGTAAGTTAAATGATGAATAATAAGTTAAAGCTTTTGATATTGAATGAACAGCATTAGCACAATCCATTGTATCAGAATTGAAGATGTTCACTTCAGATGATTTTAACGTACTGTAGTACTTTATATTGTTGACACATTTGATAATTTAACTGAATGATTTGGTGCAGCTATTTCTACAGTGGGTATAGCTCCAGGAGATAATCTCTTCAATGCAACTAAATTATCAGGTAATTTAAAGTGATGTGAGCAAATATAAATATGGAATACATCTTTTTCATGCAATCCGCAAGCGCCGATCCATTTTTTATGTATTTCTGGTGTTTTCGGAAAAAGAATAATTTTTATTAACTATTGTAAGCAATCGGACATGTACTTTCATCATTTGTCATTAAACTTACTTATGTAAACTTACTTATGTATTATAAAATAATCTTTTTATCCTCTGTGCTTTTTCTTTTACATAAATAAATCGCATAAAAAATCGCGGCATTATTTCTTTTCTTTAACTAGTACTTTTATATAAACCAAATAACAAACAACTTTATTATTGAACACGTCGAACACAATAAACATAATAAAATATGATGAAATAGATTGGGAATATGCGCATGCGCATTGCAAAAGTACATGAATTGAAAGTGAAAAGAATCGTCTGCACCGTGATGTTTTCGGCAGCTCTTAATTGCCGTTAGCAATACATATACTATATGATGCACATTGTGCATGGAGTGTGAGCATAAAGCCCTAAACACATGAAATGCATAACAGTGCATAAACATAATACCGCTAGATAGGCTTAAAGCCTATTGCACATGAAATGCATAACAGTGCATAAGCATAACAGCGCTTGACCAATGAGCATTTTATGTAAATCAATCATGGCAACTTTATGCTAAATGCTCATTGGTCCAACAGTTTTGTTCTGCTCATGCGTGGCTGTAAAATCGAAAGTATGGCGGTTATCATAGCATTGGATAGCATTATATGCGAAATACTATAATGCTATTACAATAACATCCAGAAAATTAATTTCGTCTCCCCCCAATTCTGAAATAAATTGTAAACGCAGATGGAATGAATTAAATTGTTCTAATACCAAGTCAATTTTCGAGGGAACAACCGCAGTGCAAATGTCATCCAAGTATCTAAAATAAAATGCTGCATCTAAGTCCAACGACATCAAGGACACTGTCTCAAGTCTTCTCATCATCAAGTCTGCTATTGGTGATAATGGAGAGCCCATGGGAGTGCCGAATTGGGGGGAGACGAAATTAATTTTCTGGATGTTACTATCTATTGATGGGAACAGGTTTGGTTTTGATTGATACCGTAAGCCGACCTTTTCAGGGAGGTTTTTGAATTTCAATTCTAACCATCCCATGGCACAAAAGAGAGGGATGATTCTTTCGCTGATTGACAGAGCATTTTTATTATCAGACTTTAGGTTTCATACACAGAATTTGACGTTTATTATCAACATTTTATTAGACAATGACTACCCACTGACCTCCATTTTTGACACAGTCAATCAACGTATAAAAAATTTAATTAGAAATAGACACATAACACAGAGAGGTTTGGCTGACAAGTCGGGACGAATGAATCTGTTTCTTGGCTTACGGTACCATTCGTCCCTTTCCACACGGAAAAGTTCAAACGTTTCAATAAAAACGACATCAGGGTATCTTTCCGTAGTCCCAATAAATTGAATAAATACATTAAAGTACAGAAAGATATTTGTCCACATACATCGAGGAACAACGTGGTCTACGATTTCATGTAATAATTGTGACGCGTCATACGTGGGACAGACGAGTAGAAAATTAAAGACCAGGATTGCTGAACATCGCAATCACATTAGATACAACACTTCTGGTCGTTCTGTCGTAACTGACATAGGAGACGGCTTGATCACGAATTTAAATGGGATAAAGTTGTAATTTTAGACGAAGAGCCTTGCTATCGGAGACGTTTGGTTTCAGAGATGCTTAATATCAGAAAGCAAAAGAATGGTATGTTACTATATCTATTGATGGGAACAGGTTTGGTTTTGATTGGTGCCGTAAGCCGATCTTTTCAGGGAGGTTTTTGAATTTCAATTCTAATCATCCCATGGCACAAAAGAGAGAGACGATTCTCAATTTACAACTGACACCGATGGCCTCCACAAGGCTTATATTCCCATCATAAATAAAGTTTGACTTTCTAATACTAATAGTCCGTCTCTCTCAGTCTATGTTGTTCCGCACTACCGAACCGTACATAATAATCGACACGTAATGTCTGGTTTACACATCTGCGTTCCTTCTTTCTGTATATATTTCAAAAGTTTTTTATTCCTTTTTGGATACGCTCTTTTGAATTTGTTACACATGAGTTCTGGTGAGTTTTATTATAATATATTTCTTATTATTTTTTATTAGATTTCCAGTATGTCAACTTATTTACGCGTGGATTGTTTTTGTAGTAAGCTTTTAATTTATCTTTTTATCAATTAGAGCTTTGCCAAGATATCTTTAATACATTTGATGGTTCAATCGTACGGACACAATGTTGAACTTGACATCAAGACTCACCCGAACTGTGAATGTTCGGTATATGCGATCATTTGCGATAATTGATTTCATTCTGCGATTTTTTCGTTATGTTAATGTCTGAAGAAGGCTCGATCCGATAGCCGAAACTTGTAACTTTTAATCATTTTCGTAATTTTGATTCTAATTTTTGCGTTATGTAATTTTACCTCTGTTAATTATAATATATTTCTTGTCAATTTCAAAGAAATGCATTGACTCTTACTTTGCCCGTTACTTATTATTATTTGTTTTGTATAGAAAGAGTCCGTCGATTTGTTATTTAAATAAAATAACAATAAAATTACAATAAAACAAAATAAAATAAAAAGTACAAAAGTAAAAAAGATAAAAATAAGAATAAAAATAAGAATAAAATAGCGTAACTAGGGATAAAACGGGATACAATAGTACATAGGGTAAAATAATACATAAATAAATAAATAAATAGATAAAACTAGCAGAGAGGGTTTCCATCCAACAGTCAGAATATAAAAGAATTAAAAAAAATTAAAGGTTCTACGTATAAAATAAAATAAAATAACATAAAGTAAAATAAAATAAATATGTGTCAAAGGTATATATAAATATCAGTAAAATAACTAAAGTTAGACATGGGGCCCCTCTCTCTCTGTCTAAGTTTAAAAAGGGGGAGTCAAAACATTCACAAAATAAGTTAACCGACACTCACATTCAACGAATCGCGACGCGCCGCCTTCTGCATACTTATTTCCTTGGCGTCCCAGCGTCGACGAACTGCACGTAGCGGTGTCGCGAGACGATCGCCAGAGGGACGGGGAGAAGCCAGGTACTGGCGGATGCCGGACACATGCCCCACATAGATGTCGCGTGACCAGCGAATGGTATCCGAGACAATGAGGCGCCGCATCGCCGCTGCATATTGGGAGTCAATCCGCAGCAGTTTCAACACCGCCTCGTTCCTCGGATCCCACGAGCCAAGAGCGCCGACAACGAAGGCTGTTACGACGACACGATACCCCTGTCGCTGGAGCTCCTCTGCCAGCAGCGAGTATTTGGCTATTTTCCTCGCCCTGGCGTCCTCGAAAGTCATCCAGCGGTTTTCAAACGTGCACCGTCGCATATGACGACACTTTTGGAGAGCTCGTGCCTGACCACGAGATCAGGTCGTAGCGCCTCCAACTCGTCGCTGACGCCCTCCACCCGCTGATTAACCCGCACTACCCCTGGAAGACGTGTAGCCTTCCAAAGGCGGTGCAGGACAGCGTCGTGCTTCAGCTGTATTGCGGCGGAATGATAGAGCACATGGGGCAATGTCTCCGATACCCCACCGCAGCGTCGACAGCACTTATCATTATTTGCCTCCCAACGCCGCGCGCCGTTGAGAGGGAGCACATCCAATCGAGCTTTATGTATAAAGCGCCAATCGGCGAAGCGAGTGAAGCTGCCGCCGCGGATGAAGTGATTGCTCACTCGACTCCGCGACGACATCTCGAAGACCTTGTCCTGGTCTGGTTTCGCGAGCAACCTGCTCGCGTAGTGCTCTGTTACAGCTGAGCGCAACCGATTCACTACCTGGCCGCGCCTTCCAGGCGGAATCTTAACCGCTGCCCCCGTGGGCCCCCGACATTCCAACGTCATCTCCTCCGTGGCCGCAACTCATCGCCAGCGCAGGGACAACCTCTCGGACTGTCTGAGCGCCACGTTCCGCGCACTCGACCAGAGCGAAGCCTCCCCTCTGCCCCTCATCCTTCCATCCAGCGAGCCGGATAGGAAGGAGGCGATATCCTCGCAACTAGGGGCATGGCGGATCCTGCGCCCAACCATTCCCCTCAGCGATTCCCACGCCAACTCCCTCACGGCGCCATTGCGCACCGTTAACATACAGTACACGTGGGCTACCGTGAGGACGTCGGCGAGGTCAGAGAGCGGTAGGAGTCCACATCCTCTCCGGGGCGGCATGTAGACTCCCTCCGCGCTCGCTCGTTGATAGAGGTTGAGCCAGGATTTAACGTGTCTCCGGATGTTGAGATCCACGGCTGTGAGGGGACCCTTGAACACTCTGGCCTCCCGGAGCAGGAAGTCGAGTCTGGGCAGGATAAACGTGCCCAGCATTTCGACTTTTTGCCACGGGGCAAGGAGTGAGCGGTCGGTCGCGCTCAGGTCCGAGACGATGTCCCCTACGGCGGCGTAGGGCGTCTGAGAACCCCGTTGGAACGCCTAAGTGGGTGTACGACTCACCCTCGGCAAGGGGGTTGATCGCACCCGCCTGGATTCGGAATGACGTCGGTAGGACACTGCCGCCATTGCCCACATCGAAGTGCAGGGTGGCACACTTTGCAGGGTTGAACTGCAACCCCACCGACGCTGCCTCCACCTCCACGAAGGCTAGCAACCTCTCCATCCCCTCGGGCGTCTGGGCCAGGAGTGCAATGTCATCCGCATAAACCAATGCCAACCAGGTACTCCCATGAAGGGGGTACCCGTCGTCAGACTCGGCCACCACGCGGACGACCGAGTCAATGGCGAGATTAAATATTATTGGGCTTAGCGGACAACCCTGGCGGACGCCCGACCGGATGAGGATGGGCGCTGTATGACCCTCAGCAGTTCGCACGCGCGTCGTGCAATCATCATCAATACATGGAGTCCCATATGAGACTCCTTGGCATTGTAGATCTTACAAGTGCCCTGCGGATCGTCGCGTGTGGGATCGATCCAAATGCATTGGACAGATCCAACCACGCGATGACTGCCTGACGCTTGGTGCGCTTAGCGTGCGTCAGGATTTCCTGCAGGACGAAGTTGTGCTCGTAGCACCCCTCGTCCCGCAGGAAGCCTTTCTGCACGCCGCTGAACTTTCCGTGACTGACGGCCCAGTTAAAACCAGGA